CCTATAATCTATGATTCTATGATACCAAGCCCTGAACCTACTAGAACAGTGATTTTCAAACTGTGGGTTGCGACCCAGTACTGGGTCGCGGAATGTAAAGCACTGGGTCACGGCGGCTCTGGTGAGCACCGCCGACCAGACCGTTAAAAGTCCTGTTGGCACTGCTTCCCAGTTAAGGCAGGCTAGTTCCTACCTGTTCTGACACCACACAGCGCCCTGGAAGCGGCCAGCAGCAGGACTGGCTCCTAGGCATGGGGTAGGGGAGAGGGGCACGGGACTCCGTGCGCTGTCCCTGCCCCGAGCACCGGCTCCGCACTCCCATTGGCTGCTAAAGGGGGCGGTGCCTGCAGGTGAAAGACGCGTGGAGCTGCTTGCGCGCCTCCACCTAGGAGCTGGACCTGCTGCTGGCCGCTTCCGGGGTAAGCCTGCGCCCCAACCCTGGGCCTCAATCCCCTGCCCCAGCCCTGAGCGCCCCCCCCAAAAACCCAGAGCCCCTTCCTGCACCCCAAACCCTTCATCCCCAGCCCCACCCCAGAGCTTGCACCCCCAGCGCAGAGCCCTGACCCCCTCCTGTATCCCAATCCCCTGTCCCAGCCCAGACCCCACCCACATCCTGAACCCCTCATTCCCAGCCCCACCCTGCAGCCCTCACCCCCGCACCCCAACCCTCTGCCCCAGCCCTGAGCCCCTCCCACACCCCTCATCCCCAGCTCCGTTGGGTCGTGGGCATCAACAATTTTCTTCAACTGGGTTGCCAGAAAAAAAGTTAGAAAACCACTGTTCTAGAAAGTAAAACAGTATAAATAACTTCTCTAGAATCTGGAAGGAATTGAGCATGTGTGTCACACCTATGCCATGATTCAAAGCACACCGAGGTCAGTGGAAAAATTCCCATTGATTTTGGATCAGGTCTCTGGACTATTTTCCATACCATTGTCTGATATCACTACTGTGTGATCTCCAACAAACAGAGCTTTCTAGAGGGTTCTTAGCTTAGTGTGAAGGCACTTAGTCCATAGGCACATCCCCAAAAATGGATATCTATACTAAGTCTAATTGAAAAAGAATAATATATAATAAACTTGTTGCTCAATTAAACTTTGCAGAGTGGATAATGGATCTGCATACATGGGGGAAAATTTATGGATGATACTGATGTAAGTCATCGTTAGCCTTTACACTGTTAAAACACTTTAAACAGAGACTTAGTTTTGAATTCAGACTTTTTTTTTAAGTTACTTCTGGGAGTTTTTTCTTCATGTACTGTTCAGATAAAATCTTGGCTCAACTATGTCAATGGCAAAACTCCAATTGACTTCAATGGGGCCAGGATTTCATCCTTGATTATTTGTGCTAGGGATAAACTCTAATTAGGTGATCAAGACTGAACAAGGTATAATTAGACAGAGAAAATCAAAAGACATCCTGCAGAGAAAACTTCTTTGTAGTATCAGATCTTCTGTCAATGTACAATCTGACAGCATTAGGCCAGACTCTAAAATAGAGCTTTCGTGGTCAGGACAATTTAATAAGAATAGCACACAGGGGTTCAAATGAAATTGATTTCAGTGAGATACTAATAAAATAATATTGTTTCATGAAGCTTCTTTTAGTGGCAGATGTTTCAAGGAAATTATTTTTTCTACATTATTGTAATGAATTCATCAAACTGGATGAAGCCATCCTATTTACAAATGAGATCCAGGCCACAGAGTACCACTGAGACAACTGCAGATACTTCTCTTGAACTTACCCATCTGGCTAGAGCTTCTTTAATAGTTGTTGCTTTTGCCTAAACACAAATCAAAAGAAGAATCATTATAATTTTTTTTGGCTGAATTGTTCATTGCAGAGCTAGTTTTTTCCCCTTAAGTTCCATGGACTCTCTTCCTACAACTGATCCTAAGAAGCAGAAATTGAACCCCCTTCCAAAAGCTGCTTTTAATTTCATTCAGTGAATTGTCCAACAGCAATTTTAGAGGTGGTGCAGTAAATTTGAACATACATACATGCACAATTTCCCCGGGAGACTAAGCACATCATCTTCTTGATATTGCCTGCTCTCTGTAGGCAGGGGTAGCACAGGGCTTGGATTAGTGGACCAAGTTCTCTGCATCTCTGGTGAATCTCTATTGAAGCCAAAGGAGTTATACTAGTGATTAATTTGGCTTAATGCCCTTAGCAGATCATGCTTATCACAGAGATTTCCCCATGTGGAAATTTGCTAAGCCTTTTTGAAACATACGGAGGAAAACTTTGTCCTTCCTGCACAAGGTCAGGTATAGCCTGTGGGATTTTCTTATTTTATTTTGATTTCTCCATCAACTATCCTATGCTTCTAGGCACCTCAAATCATTGAAAGTCACACTGTGTTCAATTCAAAAAAGAAGTGTGAAAACTACCATACAATATTCACTTAATGGACTGATCCACAATAACAGTAGAAACTTGGTATACCTTACTGCAATACCTCAGCCACCATATTGAGGCCCATTGCAAAACCCCACTAAATCCTCTACCTACTTCTACCCTAATGCCAGTGAAGAAAGAAATTTTGTAGCATGCCCAAAAAGTTAAAAAAAAAAAATACAAGGCTCTAAAGGACAAAGGAGGGAGAAATGTTTCAGAGTCAAGGATCTTGAGGAGAAAACAACCTGTCAACTGCTTCTTCACTTTAAAATCAAGAGGACTCCAGCTTGAACACCTCTGCTGATCTTAACTGTACAGTACAGCACAGGGAGAGATTTCCTGGTAGCGGAACAGATCAGAGAACACTAGTGTTATGTACTTTATGTCCAATGCTCCACTCAGCAAGAGTCATCCCATTCTCACTAACTTTAGTTTCGGAATGGTCTCATCATGTAACCCCCATGTAGAGCATATTACGCTAGTGCAATCTCAAAGTGGCAAAGCATGTATAATAGTAGAAAGGTTAGATTGTAGGACCCTTGGGGCAGGGACCATCTTTTTGTTCTGTGTTTGTACAGAGCCTAGCACAACAGGGTCCTGGTCATGACTAGGACTCCTAGGCATTATGGTAATACAAATAACTAATAATGATAACGATAACAACAACAGCAGCTCTAGATACAAAAGGAAAGTACATGTGCTTTTTGCCAGACTACAGAACATACACATGGCTAAAACGGCTGAGTGGTCAATGTGATCCAGAATCTAACAAAATTCCAAACTTGTGAACTTGTGTCTCAACTGGCAGGCACGTTTCTTCATTTGGGGATGTAGATATAAACCTCACCAATTCTTCCACTTGCTTCCCCAACCTTCCACCATCAACACAATCTTATCTAGATTAAGGTACTGCCATCTAGCCTTTATCTATGTCCAGTCACCTAAAAGACATTTGGCAATTTGTTCCACCACACTAGCTGAATCAAACACCAAAAGCATTATAGGGCTGAGAATCATTCTTGAATTAAGAACACTGCATCCCTTCTTCCCTCACTAAATCTCACAACTCTATCAATCCCTGTGAAGGACTACAGATGAGCCAACAAAAGTACATGTCTTTTGGATTTTCAGCTCTTTGGGACATGATCTGTCCTAACACCATGGGGCCCAACTTGATTGCAGCATGCAAATGCTACGGCAATAATAAATATTAAATAACTGGTTCAAAAGGAGGTGACAGATATAATAAAATCAGCATGAACGCTTGATCTGTATCACTCACCATTAAACAAAAAGATGACTAGTACAGTTTCTTTCCCATACTCTAGCCTAAAAACTGACTGAATTTAAATTTAAATAATCCATGTGATATAATTTAAATATAGTGACCAGTTTCTTTCCTGACTTCTTCAGATTTGCACCCCTAACTGTCCTGCCTCTCCTACTGTTGACACCTGGCTTGATGCTGATGGTGAGGATGAAAACCAGAAGCAGGGAAATAGGTCATCTGGGTAGCACAGATCAGAGATCAGAGTTTCTTGGAGTGGGTTCAAATTCACTCCAACAAGAATACCAATATAGCCTGCCTTCTTATACTGGAAGGCTTCACTGATCCCAGGCATGGTGCACCAACTAGCCTTGCTGTAAATCTCACATGAACCAGCCCAATACCAGGCATCCTTCACCTGGGAACTGGCTGCTTTCCCAGAATGACTCAGGTTAAAGGAGGTTAGATTGCCGAAAGGAAAGACAAGTAATCAAAATGCTGTACCACTGATTGTGCCAAATAATCAAGGGCTGAAAATGTCACCCTTGACAGCTCACGTTGTTGTTACAGGAACAAGAACAACAAATAATCTAAGGAAAAAATAAAAAACTGCACACACACAGAGGACTGGTAAAATATAACAGAAAAACATTAAATAATCCATGCTCTGCCCCCTCAATGGAATCATTTCTTACAAGGGATCATTACAGAACATTTACAAAACTTCAAAACATACAGCAATATTCCCAGGGGAAAAATAGATAACTGGGCTTCATCCTCATTTTTATGCATTTAATTCTTCTTGGTCATTTCCGTCAAATAAAACCACATGGAATTTCATAGGAAAGGGAGCTGTAATCAGACTAGTCAAAGTAGATTGTGTATTTACTACAGTCTTTAAACCATCTATTAATTCAGCATTTTAATGATGGTGATTCCTGGCACTCAAGCAGCTCCAGAATGAAGAATAAGATCATCTGCTCCCGCTATTCTGATCTAGCCCTGGAATAACTCTTTCCAAGACACAACCTTTTTTTTGGTTTATTTGTTTCTTTATAACAACCGTTCAAAATGGCAGGAAATAACCTCAAGGTCCTAGATAGTGGGCTAGTTTATGTGTTGCCCTATAGCCCTTTTATACCTCTCCAGGGACTGGCTCTGCTACCAAGCAGTTCACTCCACACCAACACCCCTTGCAGCTCCCATTGTAGGGGCCTGTCAAGGAGAAAGGGGGAACAGCGACAGCAAGTTGCTTTCTGGCTATTCTGAACTGCAAAACACTCTCTAGGAGGCTGTTGCAGCTGAGAGCAAGTTAGAACAACGCTGAGACTGCTCTAACTTATGCTGGGGGCCAGACGGGCTCCTGGCAGGGCCCAGAACACAGGAGGGGCAAAGCTCCTCCGCTCTGTGTCCAGAAACAGGGAGTCAGGCCCATCATTGCCACGTTCAGTGAAATATGCTCCAATGGCCAAGCCAGGCTCCCCAAGCCCCTTCCCCTCCCCTCCCCTTCCCTAGCCAGGGCCCACTAGGTCCCCCAGCTCCTCCTTTCCCCCCACCCCAACCAGGTCTTCTCAATCCCGCCTCGCTGCCCCCGCCAGCCAAGTCACCTCCTCTCTCCCTCAGCCACCCCAGCCGGCCAGGTCCCGCCTCTCCCCTTGCCCCATCCAGCCCCTCACCGCCCCCTCCCCCAGCTCCCCGCTTCGCCTTTGAACAGACTCACCATTACGGTTGCTACTGTCGCTGATCCGGTTGCTATGGCACGCTAGTCTCCTGCGCATGCTCATCTGCAGTAAAGGCGAGGAGCCGGGGATCATAGAGACACCATGGCAACTAGATAGTCCTTAGCCCGGAAATCACATGACCTTTCCCGCCCGCTCTGCGCTCACTCGTCTTCTGTTCTGCTGCGCAGAGCGCCGCTGTGTCGCTGAGCGCAGTGGTGCATTGGAGGACACTGGTCGGGATCTCTGTCGCTCGCGAATGCGGCACAGCACGCACGGTACGGTAGGTAACCGCGGCTGCGTGCGTGGTGCTACGCTGAGGTGGGGGTCTATTCCGTCGGGGCTGGGGGGCGTGGAGAGGTGGCGCAGCTGGGAGGTGGAGGGGGCTGTGTGTGCTGTGGCGGAGCGGGGCCCTGGCACGGATGGGGGCTATGAGGGGCAGCAGCATGACTGGGCGCCGCGCGGGGGAACAGCATGGCTGGGGTGTGTGTGGGGCGGTACAGCTGGGTGGGGGGCTGTGGGGTGGCACAGCTGGGTTGGTGGGCTGCAGGAGGGATTGTGGGGGTTGTATGGGGCTGTGGGGTGGCACAGCTGGGTGGGGGACTGTGGGGGAGGAGTTGTGTGGGGCTGTGGGGTGGCACAGCTGGGTGGGGGCTGCAGGAGGGACTGGGGGTGGTGGTGTGGGGGAGAGGGTTTTATGGGGTGGCATAACAAGCCTGGGGGCAAGGAGGGGTTGTGGAGGGCCGTATAATAGCCAGCCCAGCCTGGGGTGGTGTTGGTGTAACCCGTCCCGGGGCTGTGTGGGGAGCAGAGATACGGCTGGGGGGGGGAGGGGATGTGTTTGTGGGTGCGGGGCAGCATGGTTGTTTGTTGGTCGATCGCTGCCTGGTTTAGGATTTGTGAGGAGGGAGGGGGTGGCACAGCTTGGTGCTGGTTTGGGGCTGCCTGCTGGTGCTACTGCTGTGTGTGTGTGTGGGGGGGGGCTTTGTGTGGATCGCGCCCTGCTACGCTGACCCTCTGCTCCGGGAGGGAGGGCATTGTGGGCCACAATGGCCCCTGGCGAGTCTCTGGTGCCTCTCCCTCATGGGTCTGCTGTCCCCTGACACTGGTGGGGATCCCTGTGATGGGTTCAGTCACAGAGATCCCCTTGGGACAGTCTCCTGATGTGCTGAAATTACCTCTGAGCCCGTTTTCCCTGCCAACTTGGGAATCCAGAACCCTGCCTTGTTGAGCCAGACACGCTAGCCTGCTGCAACACAGACCCAGGGTCTGGTCCATCCCCCCAAAGCTGCAGATTTAATTGGAAACAGCTCAGCAGGTTACTTGCCTCCAGCACCCAGACACCCAGTTCCCAATGGGATCCAAACCCCAAAGAAATCCGTTTTACTCTGTATAAAGCTTCTACGGAGTAAATTCATAAATTTTTTGCCCTCTGTATCACTGAGAGAGAGGGAGAGATGCACAGCGGTTTGCTCCCCCAGGTATTGATCACTTACTCTGGGTTTATTAATAAACAAAAGTGATTTTATTAAGTATAAAAGGTAGGATTTAAGTGGTTTCAAGTAATAGACAGAACAAAGCAAAATGAAACAAAACACACAAGTCTAAGCCTAATACGTTAAGAAACTGATTACAGGTAATATCTCACCCTCAGAGATGTTCCACTAAGCTCCTTTCACAGACTAGACAATTTCCTAGTCTGGGCCTAATCCTTTCCCCGGTACAGTTCTTGTTAGTTCCAGCAGACCTCTCAGGTGGTAAACAGGGGTCTTCTCATGACTGGCAGCCATCTTTGTCCTGCTCCACCCCCTTTTATAGCTTTGGCACAAGGTGGGAATCTTTTGTCGGTACTTGTCCCCACCCCTCCTTCTAAGTGGAAAAGTACCAGATTTAAGATGGATTTCATTATCAGGTGACATGGTCACATGTCACTGTAAGACCTCTAGTCTCCATTCCCCATGGGCTGGCCCACACATACACAGGAAGGCTTTCAAGTAACTAAGGCCATTTACAACTGATTGTTTCTGGAGCACCCTTAATGGCCTCCACTTAATATGTTTACATCAGTGATACAAGTTACACCTCTACCTCAATATAACACTGTCCTCTGGAGCCAAAAAATCTTACCGCGTTATAGGTGAAACTGCGTTATATTGAACTTGCTTTGATCCACCGGAGTGCACAGCCCTGCCCCCCCTCCCCCCCCCCCGAGCACTGCTTTACCACGTTATATCCAAATTCGTGTTATATCGAGGTAGAGGTGTATATCTTATTCTCCTAACTCCAGATATAGAAACAAATAGAAAGCTCGTAATCTACTAAGTGTGTTCATCCTAATGACACCATACAAGGGGTATTTAGTGTAAAACATATTCCAGTTATGTCATATTCATAAGAATATTTCCATAAAGCATATGGAGTGCAACATCACACCCTCCTACTGAACTTACTGTCAGAGACTTGGACACTGACCATGGTGGAGGCAGTACTGTACATTTAAAATTCTGGTTCAGCTCTGGTCATACCCCCATCCAGCGTTACTAAACACTATAATGCTTTTCATAGGGGTTCTTGCAAAATTCTGGTTCCTGGTCCCCAGGTGCTTGAAAATGTGTTGGGGTGTACTATTGCTAACAGAATGCAGATAGCCATATCTGTTAAAGTGTAGGTGTCTTGGCATTTAGCCACAAATGCCATGAGGTGGTGTGCCTCAGTTTCCCCTTCCACACAGCAGCGTAGGACTGTTATGCTTTTGCTGCTGTGCCAAGCTTCCAACCTGTTTACAGGTATAAGCTGAAAAGCAACATGCTTGTGGGATTGTCTTGTCACCATCCCTAGCATGTACAAAAGTTTTTTCCAAAAATCAAGTATGTTACACATTTTCACGGAGTTTATCATTCGCATCAATTCCTTTGTCTTAGTCTCCGGTGCCTCTCCCCCATGGGTCTGCTGTCCCCTGGCACTAGTGGGGAGGGCCCCTTCTGCTCCCCCCATCTGGAGCTCTGGCAGGGAGTGTACGTACACACGCACACACACACGCACCCCTCCTTGCTGCACTGTTGGGGAGGGGCTGTTCTCTGCCTACCCTAGATGCTGTTCCACCATAGTCCTAGTGTGTGTGTGTGTGTGGCAGTTGCCCCATGCCCAACACAAGGATAGCATCAAGGAGTGGGGAGACTGGGAGCAGCCTACATCTCTCCTTCCCCCATGATGACATTGAGTAGCACCCTCTCCCAGTCGTTTTCCCACCCCCAGGATTGTGATTCTCTTTTTTTTTTCTTCTTCTTCCAGAGAGGACTGGTGCGGTGCGAGACAGATGTCATTTCCCCCCTTTCTCCCCACTCCTGCATGCTTGCTTTTGGATCCACCACCAGCGTAGAGATTGGACTCTGTTTTACAGAAATGTAATCAATTCAATTCCTACCAACAAGTCAGAATCAGAATTCTGCTTATTCCCCACTTTGAACTCTTGGTTCCACAGAGGAACAGATGTGCCTGAGCCCACTAGGGTACCATAGAACACATTCAAAGGATGTAGGGATGAGATTCTGTCTTCTCCCCCCTGCATCCTTGAGAATTCAAAAATAAGACTGTTCTGCTCTGCAAAACTAGCAGAACTAACTCTGGAACCCATAGACGTGTGCCAGGTGTGCTCAGGCACACCCTAATGCAGGGCAGAGCTCTAGGGGGGCGGGGCAGTGTGTCTGGCTCCGCGCTGAGCCAAACGCTGCTAGGAGCCTCATGGTTAGGGGGGCTAGGGGGTTGGATAAGGGGCGGGGGCAGTAAGAGGACAGGGAGCAGGGTGGGTTGGATACATAGGCGGTGAGATGGGCCGTGGTGCCCATTCTCCACAGTTCAGCAACGTGGGGTGGGGCGCTCTCACCTCGGGGGCAGCTCCCCCATCCCCGGCGTCCCCGCAGGCAGCGAAGAGTCTCGGCAGAGGCAGGGAAGCTCTGAACGCTGCCTCCGTCCCCTCTCCCAGAGCTGACCTGGTTCCCAGCCCATTGGGAGCTGTGGGGGAGGAGGTTGCCAGAGCTGCCTGACCGCACCTCCCCAGCAGGGAGGGGGAGGGAGCTGCAGGCAGAGAGCAGCAGGAGTCTGTCACTGTCATACACAGATGGGGGGGGGGAGGCATTGTGGGGGCAGACAAACAGATGGAGCTGGGGGCAGGAGAAAGGAGCAGCGATGCACCCTGGGGCTGGCATAAAATACACAGTACAGAGGGGGCTTCCTTGGGGGGATGGGGGGAGGTAGGTATAGCAACACTCCCTTCCCTCACAGACCAGACTTGGGCTGCAGCTGGCTCTGTCAATCACTCCTCCTCCCCCCCCCCCCCCAACCCACACAGAGACCCACACAACCCTCTGCCCCCCGGAAGATCCCCTCCAGCCCCTATGCCTCCATCACCCCCTCCAGAGAGCCCCCCTTTGTGCCTCCCGAGACAGCTCCCCTACCTCCCCTGCTCCCTACAATCTTCCCCTTTGCCTTCCCCCTCCTGCCCCCAGCTCATTGGCCAGGAGGCTTCCAGACTGTTGGCCACCAAGGCCAATGGGAGCTGCACCTGAGGTAGGGGGCCTGCTTGCAGATGCAGACCTGCCCGGCTGTGCCTCCAGCTGCACGGGGAGGGGGAGCCACAGGTGAGCAAACCCTGGTCATCATCATCACAGGCACAGCAATTCTCTGGATATTTAATTTCACGGAGGCAAGTAATTTAATCTACTCTTCCTTTTCAGACAGTTTGTGGCTTTTCCTGTAAGAAAACTTACAATTTCTTTGCAAAGAAGTCCAGTTATAGTTTTTCACTTGAGAAGTATATTTTCTGGTTGTTCATAACCTCATTTATTTTGTTAACTCAGTTTCATAGGGAATTTTAAGTGACTTGAATTATAACTGGTTTTTTCCATTGGTCCAAAAACACATGGAAGATGTGCAGATTTTTATTTCTGTGGGCCAAACCATGTAGAAATGTAAATGTCAGAGCTAGAAAAGCTCTGCAAGGGTATGGGTCCCTCAGGAAATTGTCCTCAAGTCATTCATTCTTCTGGGCATTCCATTCTATTCCCTCTTACAGTGATAGAGATCAGTGTCTCCACCCACATGGGAGATGCAGAAGACTGGGCCAACCCTGCAGCCACTCTGCCTCTACCCTTGTTCTCTGTCTGCTCCCTCTACCAGCCCCTTTGGTCTCCCTGGGATTCCGCCTACCATTACTCTGTCTGGGTCTTCTTTCTCTAGAATATCTCATGAAGTAAAGTTGTCATTACAGGTTCTTATCTCTGTAATGTATTTAATTTTGATGTATTTAGTAAGTGTTAATTAATGCACTTTGGGAGTCCCCCTTCAGCCCTCTGTATAAATTGATCCTCTTCTTTCCATATGTTTTGCCCATAGGGCAAGCAGGCTTCTCTGTCTAAACAAGAAGAACGGTGCCATAACCGAAGTGTAATGGAGCAACTGATTGACATTGTTCTGTGTTTGGTGAAAGATGGGAGACCATTCAGGGGTCACAATGAAAAAGCTGACAGTTTTGAGAGAGATTTATTTCTAAATCTTGTCAATATGCTCCAAAAATATGATCCTGTAATGGCAAAGGATGTGCAACAATCTCCTCGAAACACTACCTATCTGAGTAATCGCATCCAAAATGAATTAATTGTGGCCTTGCACAACGTTGTGCAACAAAAGATTGCATCTTCACTAAATGGAAAAATGGTCTCAATAATTGCAAACGACACTACTGACTGTGGACACCATGAACAGATGTCCGTTGTGATGCAGTATTTTTGACAATGAAAAACATAGTCCAGTTGAACATTTTGTGTCTGTTCAGAGACTATTAACAGTTGATGCTCAGTCTATTTTTGACCAGTTAAATGACGTCCTTGTCATTCTTAAAATTGACTGGTCATCAGTGATGTCCGTCTGTTTTGATGGCGCATCTACTATGTCTGGATGTACTGCGGGAGTTCAAATGAAATGTAAAGAAAGAAACAGTGAAATACTCTATGTACACTGCTATGCGCATTGTTTGAACCTCATCCTAGTAGATGCATGCACTTCAAGTAAACAAAACAGAGCTGTCTTGATTTTTTTTTGGTGTTATTCAGACTCTTTATGCCTTCGTGGAGGGGAATCCTGTGCGACATGCAGTAATGGAGAAGATTTCACAAGAAGTAGGATCCCAGTTGAAGACTTTGAAGTCACTATCAAACACAAGATGGGCATGCAGAGCAGAAGCAGTGGCTGCTGTAAAACAAAACTACTCCATCATTTTACAAGCTTTACAAGAGATTATTGAAACAACTCGCCTTGCTGACCCTAAAATAAAAGCCAGGGGCCTTATCCATGAACTAAATTCATTCAAGTTCATCTTTGCCCTTCACATGATGCACCCTATTCTCCAGATCGTGGTAAAAGTGAGTAAGGCTCTTCAAGCTCCAGATCTCAACTTACTTACTGCAATGACGGGTGAAAAGCTTGCGTAACTCTTTGGCTGCGATGAGAAGTGGCCAGAATATTTTCAATCTGTTTTCAATGACAGTGTGAAAATGTGTGTAGAGAATGATATATCGATTCCCCCAGTTAAGAAGAGAAAAATGTCCACTCATTTTGATGATGCGTTTGAGTCCCAGCATCACTTTGATACAAAAGAGGAGCAGGAGAGAATATCTTCTTTTTACCCACTCCTAGACTCAGTGATTACCGGCATTGACCAGCGATTTGAACAGGAGACTTGTAAAATTGTGACTGCAATGGGAAAACGGCTGAGCTTAGACATTGGCAGGGATGATATGAGAATCCTTGCCAACAAATTTAAAGTGTCCCTGGATGAGTTGGAAGCTGAAGTTGGATTGCTTCGGGGTTATGACGGATCTGTTCCTAAAGGTAGCACTACGATCACCACCAGAGAGTGGCTTGATTGGCTAAAGGAATCGGATCGGTCTTCCATGTTCCAGGCCTTTTACAAATCTATTCAATTCTTTGCAGTCTTACCTGTTACAAGCTGTTCATGTGAAGGAGCCTTTTCAAAACTAGCACATGTAAAAAACAAACTAAGAAGTACAATGTCCCAACAGCACCTCGACTCACTCATGATTTTGTACATTGAACAAGAATTGGCTTCGTCAGTTAATTACAATGATGTGATTGAGGAATTTAAGTCCATAACACCTGGTGAGCAACGTCTCATTCTCTAGGACAGGAAGATGAAGAAACCTTAATCTGTTTTGGACAATTTGGGTTAGCTCATTATCTGGTTAAAGATAAAGATCATGAAAATTGACTATCTTTTGTATACGCCTAATTATCACGACAGCAAAAAATTGGTATTTTGTCTCATTTTTTAAGTTTGTATTTTTTAAGTAAAGTTTTTAGTTGTTAATTTAAAAAAAAGTTTAGTTAAGTTTTAGTTTCTTTAGTTTGCTTGATGAATAAAAATAATGTCCTTTTATGACTGAGTATTCAATAAATGTTCGCTTTAAAAAAAAAAAAAAAATCCCTGGGTGCACACCCTAATGAAATGTGCTGTGCACGCCTATGCTGGGACCATAGACAATTGAAACCCAGTAGGGAAGTAGACATTTAAGTCCATAACCAACTCTGGGACAACTGACAACTCCACAACCAGCATAAGCTGAGAGGCACTTTCTGTCTACTCCACAGACAAAAAGACTGGAGACAAACTTTCCATCAGCAGTCATGCTGCTAGTCTCAACAGACAAACAATTTGGGATTTCCTTTCCCTTGTTCCAGCACACATGGTTGTTCAGATAAATGCTTGGAGATTGGGGTAGCTCCCTCCCTAGGCGAGTCATTACCCCTAATAGACGCAGGAACATTTCCTTCATTCTCCCAACTCTTCACACTGGTAACAGGTAAGGCATAGAGATACTCATGTTTCACTAACCTTGCCTTCCCAAACTGCTGATTAGACAAAGCCATCAGCTCACAAAGCTGCCTAGACTCACCTAAATGTTCTTTGCCTTTCTCTCCCTTATCCCAGCATCCCTGGCTGACTACAGACATGGGAGAGTGGGAAGGCTTCCTTAACAGGCAAGTTGCCACTCCCAACAGACAAACAATTGGAGATAGTGTCTCCCTCAACAGATAAACAGCTGTTTACTACAAACAGTGGTTCATCATACTGAGCTACTTCACTTCTATTTTATTCTGGCTCGCTTGCACAAGCTTTACTTGTCAGCATTCCATCACCCACAAAAAATCTGCCCTTCCCTTCCTCAGTTAGGGCTTTAACGTGACTATTAACTTTAATCTGCTCTAAAACACTTTCCTGAGCAATGAGTTCTTCCTGAGCTTCATCTAATTCCACATTCATTTCTGAGATATTAGATGGACATTCAGAAATTCCTTCTACGTATAAACTGCTTTTCTGTACAGACAAACAGCTATTTCCCACAATCTCAAGGTTAGAGATACTCTCTTCCTTGCCATAGCATACCTGGTTAAACACAGACAACTGCTTAGTCAGACACATCCACACACCCCCTTTCACTAATCTCCCTGTTCATTAAGATAACACAGAAGATTCACATTCATACTTATTAGTATTGCAAAGAGAAGAGTTTTTTGTTTTATTTTTTAACAAACAAATTTAAAGGGGCATTATGAACTTAAAAAAATCTCATTTTCTGAAAATTGTTTGCCTACTATTTTAACTGGTTACAGTTCATATTAATGTAAGGGAGGGTTTAGAGCGTTTTCTTTTTGCTACTTTTCCAGTTAGTTTACTTTGTTTAAGCTTTTGCATTTCTGTTGTGTGTCTCCAGACCAAGGTAAAACAGCATCAGGAGCAGCAGCCTACAGCATTTAATTGTCCCAAGTACTGGGTGGGGGCTTGAGCCAGTTTTGTGTTGTGGTGGTGGTGGTGAAGAAAAACCCCTAGATATTGAAGCCGGTCCTGGTTGCTACCGACTCCACCTGGAGAAGTGTTACATACACTTGTGTGGACTTATATGATTACCAAAAAAAAAAAAAAACCATGGAATTTGTATAAAAACACCTCCTCTGAAATGGGGTGTGCTTGTTCTGAAATGTAGTGCTGCTTTTTTTTTTTCTTGTGAGACTTGGCAACACTTACCGGACATGCACAGCGCATTGTGGAATACCAGGTATTGTCTTTCCAGTTCTCCTTCGCTGCGCTCTGTGGTGAGTGTGCAATGGGTGTCAGATGGCTCCTGTCTGCCCATCCTGACAGGCCCTGTGCGCTTTGCTAGGCCCCCTTCACTTTGCCACTTGCGGCTGCTCTGGGGGACAGGCTAGTGATCCCCCACCCAACTTCGCTGACATCGCTACTGTGTCTAGTGGCCAAGATGGGATGCTGGCAGGTATGGCTGTTGGGTTGGCAGCAGTTTCAGGTGCTGCGTCTTAAAGTGCGTGGAAAGGAGAGAACAGGGCTCTCTGTCTGGTAATACATGTGCTGCCCGTGACAGACTGACTCATTCAGGCACAAAGCATATTACAGCCCCATGCACTTGCCCTAAACAAATGGTGCCTACACAGGATCCTTATCAATGCTGGTACCTCAGAAAATGACTTTTGGTTTCTTTATGGGGGAGACATGCAAGTCTCCTACTGCAGCTCTTTTGCTGTAGCAGAATTTGATGGTTTGGTGACATTCCCTCTGCATGTCATCACTTCAAAAGTATATGGGTTAGAGTACCTTATTGTCATGCAAGTTCAGCATCTCTGGAGTGGTTAATATGGTAATACTTTCAGTGCAGTTCATGTTCAAAGCACATTAGAGACATCTAACAGTAAAGGGATATCTTAAACTGACAAGAGTAAAGCTCATCTCCATAAAAATCAACCATTTGTAACATAGATGAAGTACAGAAACTAGGGACCTTTGCTTGGATCCCCCAGAATCTTCTGAGGCAGAAAGCAAGATGGATTTGTGTAAGTTTGGAAGGATCTGGAAAGTAGAAAATCTCTGCGAAAGAGAACAGAACTGTAACTGAGGCAGTGTTATCTTGGGCTGGAGACTGACAAGAGAGATGCAGAAGCTCTAAGTAGTATGAACTGCCTCATTCATTTCTGAAGCCTCATGGGGACAAAACTAATATCATTTAACTATTTCACTGCGGACCATTTTAGCAGAAACATATTTGGTATAGGATCATGGGCAGAGTGCCTTCACTTCCTCCTCCCCACAAACCTTTGTTTAAAAAAAACACTTTAACAACACATTTTAGAAATTTATTGTAAGCTATTCATGAAAACAGGCAAAAAGATAAAATATTGCAAATAAAGTCAGTTCACACAAACTAGCTCCATCATCCCACTTGCAAATGAACAAATCGCTAGTAATTTGTTGAACAAACCTCCTTATTTGGATCAATGTAGTTTATTTGTCAGACTGCATAACCATCAGCTGAGTTGATATGACACCTTGGGATTGATTTTGCTCCCTTTTGAAGTCAATAGGAATTTGGCTACTAACTTCAGCGGAGCTGAAGCAGGATACTTATGGCATTATCAACCTAGTGCCAGGATTGAACCATAGTCAGTCTTGCACAGAATGAGATTCTGAAACAATTCTGCAACTCCAATATTAATTTTACCTTGATCTAGGGATCCCAAAATCCCTGATCATGTATTTGTTACTCAGACACTACTTCCACTGAAATTCTTTGGGAGTTTTTCCTGAGTAAAGAATGTAGACTCAGGGCCTAAAAATAAGGTCTTACAAATGGCTATAACCAGGCACTCTGTTTTAAGGCATACTGCATGTTTATAATGGTATTCCATTTGCAGTGTAAATAAAATGTATTTTAGAATTTGAGTTTTAGAACCAATTTGCTACAGATCATTGTGTGTGTTCTTTGGTCATTAGTATCTTCTTCTGAGTCTGAGATGTATTTACACAATCAAATTGCAGTATTAAGTGCTTTTAGGTTTTTTCCTTCTCCCCTTTGAAAAATCTGAACAATTAAAAAAAAAAAAGCAGCAGCCAAACTTCTACACAATATTAAATGTTTTAATAAATGGCTTTCCTGCCCCTTTACTGTGGTTTTAAAAATTTAAAATGAAAGTTTAAAGGATTTTGCTTTATGAATAAAGTGAAGGCATTTTAAGCCACCTGTTTTTTTTTTCTTTTTGTTTTTTTGACAACTGTTGACATTGGCTTTTTGATAATTAATGAAAAATGTGATATTAATTTAAAATCAGAGAAATCTAACAATATCTACATTCAGAATCTATTTATACATGAATGCAGAAGTTTGATTGGACTTGTACCTCTAACTGGCCCAGTTTGACTAGAATTGCACTAGATTTTAGAAACCTGTCCCAGGAACTTGCAGGAGTGGATCTGCATAGCTAAGAAGACACAATGGAGATTCAGTAGGCAACACTGAGAGGGCAACAAAACAGGCTGGCAGGAAACACTGCCCCACCTAAGGCAATCAGGCATCTGGCTCCAATTGGTGGAGGTACATGTGAGAAGGAGGGTTAGAAAGTGCAGACATGGGAAACCAATGGACAACCTCTCCTTCTCTGGTCACAACCTGGAGTAGATTTGGTGAAGAAGTAGTAATGTAAGTGCAGGAAGCACTACTGTGCTTATTAGAGCTGGCTGCAGGCCTGTGCTACTGTTATCTATTCTCAGGGAAGGTTTAGGCATCAGAGCCCCATGCAACCATAACCAAGCACCAGCATGCTGACAGCAGACCAGAAAAGGGAAAGAAGTTTCCATAACACTAAATAAAAGTCAAGGTCGCAAGCCAAAGCTCCATTTCCTCCTGGGCAGCTCTTTTAAGCTGCTCTGACAACAGGGACGCTGGAAAGGGAATTGTGCTGGCAGTGGCACTTGGGAACCAGGCTTCTAGCACTACCACTATTTCAGAGGACTAGCTGAGGTCTGAAATATTAAAGAAGAAATTATGATTCCTTTCCCTCAAGATGATGGGAGGGGGCAGGCCTCCTAAGCAGGCAAGAGGGGGGCACTAGCCTAAAGTTAATCAGAATGGAAACAATTCCCCTGGCAGCTGTGGCCACAATTGCTCCCTCATTCCTGGGCAGGTACAGGAGAATTATCCCAGGATTTTTTCATTTTTGATTGTCTGATACTTAAGCTGGTTGCTGTTTACGACAGCCATTTAACGTATGACTCTACTGCCTTCTGTTGGCCAGGCTCCCTACATCTTTTCAAATCATCCATCTGCTCCTCTGCTCCCTGCCATTCAATATCCAATGGCTACTGACGGCCACTATCCATTACTAGGCAATTCCAAAAACTGGCTTCCTCACATCCCTCATTTAACAACAGTCATTACTACTTTAAAAACAGGCAGTTAGAAGATTGAACTGCAGGAAGAAAGAAGGAAATATATCAATGCATATAACAAAACTGCATTTAACCAAGCTATCCAGTGGAACTGTAATATCCACTAGCCAAGTATTAGATTCCAGCCTAAGACACCACAGATAGAG